GGGAAAGAGAAGACAAGAACACAAGCGAATCTAATTCAATGGTTGGACATCAATCTTCACTCTTCAGCCTTGACCTTACTAAAATGGTTAATATGTGGGACAATGAAGGTGATGATGAGGTTAATTCTATTGGACAAAGCCCACCAATGGAGACAGTTGAAGGATATCAAGTGAAGCCAGAATATGTGCCCATATTAAGAAAAGTTTTCACCAAGTACGGAGATGTTTTCAAGAATAGTTTGGTATCAACAATGACATTCCGTTCAATGTTATTGGAAATGATATGTCACATGATTTCAGACTTGCTAGACAAGAATCTTGATAGAATCTCTGAAAATGAGCTGCATAATATGATTGCACTTGCAAATGAAATAAAAAATATGAAAGTGAACATTGAGTGGCTTCATATCAGACTAGAAGAGATACTTGAGGCAAGACAAAATCTTAAACAATCTGGCAAGCTGAAAGAGAAAAAAGATAGCAATAAAAAGGTCATTGAAACTGTCAAGAGGGAATTGGAAGAATGTGAAGCAAAAAAGAAGGCACTGACAGCAATGTTGCAATCAATATGTGATAAAGAGACTGCTTGCAAGGAAACACTGGCTATAGCTGAGGATGAGTCCATAAAGATAGATGAAACTGTCACATATGCTAAAACTAAAGTGAGACGCTTTTTTAAGTGCTCTCTAGTAGATGGTTTGCTTTAGTTTTGCAATTTATCCATCCCCTCTTTGCTTTCTCCATGTTAGTGATTTTAGGATGGTTCAAGGAGTTATATCTTTTAGGGAGGTTTTTAGTTGATTGTGTTACTCATTGTTTAAACTTGTACTAAAACTGCTAGTTTCGATTTATATAGCTATGTGGTATTTCTAGTGATGGGATGCAAATATACAGCTTCGTTGTGCTGATCTTTTTCTTTTATAACCAAGGTTCCTCCAATCGAGAATCAAAAGACTAATTTCTTTCGAGATGTTGCTGAAGTAGGTTTTACTTCTCCCAAACAATAGTAGTTGTTGAATATGTTGCTAAGGAAACTTGTAAAATTAAATTTCTGCAGTATATTAAGCCAATAAAATAGATTCTTGATGCTATTCGTATTTTAGTCCATAATGATATTTAGATTCCTTGAAGAGAGTCGAGTAAACAGTGTGATAGTTTAGAAATAAGATTTGAAGATTGAATTTTCTGTTGAGTGTAATGATATCAAAAATATAAAATGTTGTGTTTTTAACCTCTAAGTCTTATCATCGCTTATAATGGTATTACTTCTATCCCTGAATCCATCAGAAGTTCAGAACCCTTCAATATAAAATTAAAATCATGCACTCAAACATATTTTATGTGTAAACATTATTTTCCTTGGAAACAAAAACTAATGAATCATGTAGTTAGGATATGGTCCATTAGTACATAGTTCATTAGTTTTTTGGTGAATACATGAGAACATTTATTTTAGATAAATAATCTCTAACATAAATTTTAGTTAAAGAAAAAAATGATGAGAAAATTTAACAAATTATTGTATAGATGTATGATTTTTAAACAAATGGTTTCAAAAAGAATAGATAATGAAAAAAAAAAGTACTCAAAAACAGTATGATTTTTAAACAAATGGTTTCAAAAAGAATAGATAATGAAAAAAAAAGTACTCAAAAACAATATATATATATATATATATATATATATATATAGAGAGAGAGAGAATAAAATTACAATGAAAATTTAAGAAATATTAAGATGCGAGGAAAAAGGTAATTATATTTGAAATTTAACAAAATGTAAATATATTATTTAAATTTTATTATAATAACAATTTAAAAAGATATATGTTGTTCATATGGTTTAAAAATAAATGTTACCATTCAAAAATAAATTCAATGGGTGAGATAGTGCAAAAAGTTTAGACAAAATAGCCTGCAGCTTAGAAATTAAGATTGAAATGATTATATAAGCAAACGAAGCCATGAGAATAAGCCTCCAAATTCTGATATAAAATATTGCTTAAGTAATTTTTAGGAACGTGTAAAATATACTGAATACCAAGTAAAAGTTGACTTGTAAAATTTTTGTAATGAATACAAAGTTATAAAAATAAATAAATAAATAAATACTTATAATAATACATTATTTTCATGGTCGAAATGATAATTGGTTCAAGAGTGATAACATTGATGGTCTAATAATTCTTCGATCGATATAAAAGAACCAATGGTTTCATAAAAGTGTTTACATTTTAATTAAATGTAAATCAAGTGTACCACTCTTGGCGTTAATTTATTCTTGATAAGTTTGTTCATGATTTTATTTGGGATTGGCTTGCTAGATAAATCTCCTTCTGGATGTGATGATCTTCTTTTTTTTTTTTTTTTTTAAGGGGGTTTTTT